TCCCACTTACTTGGACTAATGCACATCTTCAGAAAGCCCACATCATCCTGAGCAACACCATATAATCAATCTTTCCATACCTTCACTTTTACTTAAGCAGGTGCCTCAACAGTTCTCTGGTTACCACCCAACTGCTGAGACCACTTCTCTCATTAAGGTTGATTATCAATCTACCTTGTTATATCATCAGAAAGCTCTCCCCACTCTAAGAAAGATTCTGAGTGCACTATCATCATACACTGAGTATTTCGCTAGCAGTTGCTTCAGCAGTTCCCTGCCTTCTAGCCAACTGCTAAGCCAACTGCTCACCTTATAAAGCCCAAACTTCATCCATCATAGCTAGAAAGTGTTATACACTATTTATCTAAGAGGTTAAAGACTTCCGCTGTGCATCTATAAATCTCCCAAAAGATTATAGATCAACTCTTTAGAGGGAGAAACGTTTTAAAGTTGAAAAAGCTTTAAAAGTCTATTCCCCCCCCCCCCCCTCTAGACTTATACCTCTATCCGGGACCATCACTAAGCCCTTTGGCGAAGCTCATGGGATACACCCCAAAATACCCTGACGGAGGATTAAGTATGTGGTCCGTCGGCCTGGATGCCCTAACCCTACCAAATGGCCCCACATACATTTGGGCGACCAGGTACTCAGCCGCGCAGCTCTGTGGCCTGATGATGTGAACATCGGTAAGGTCCAGGTAGGAGAAGCCCGGACCTTTCTTCGCCCGATGCCTCCTCTTCCGCGGCGCATTCCCTTTGACGGCAGAAACCGGCTTCGGGCACGGAATAATGGCCGACGTAAAAGCTCCGTCCATGGCACGCAAGGCGGCAACGTCCTCACCCTCAGATGAAGAGGCGGCTTCCTCGTCTACGCTCTCCTCGTCTACCTGCTCACCTGATCTGAGTGGGCTCAACACCTCGATCTCCTCGCAGCACTCCTCCACCACTCGGTAGTCAAGGGACTTAGCGGAAACTTCATCATCGTATGGGTAGTACTCTTCGTCTAAGGTCTTCATCATAACAACTATTGAGGCCCTAATGGGAATTATTTTGGATCTAAGTATGGTTCGCCGACTAACACTAGATCAAAGCCTAAGGAAGCAAAATATACAAGAAATGGAGGAAAGGGTGATGAACTCACCTTTGAAGTTTTGAAGAAATGGAAGATCACTCGAGCAAGCTTCTCTCTCTAGGAATTTGGGCAGCACTTCGTTAGCTCAGGATGCAAATGGTGGACTTCCTTTGGGAGGGGGGTATTTATATACCTCCCCCCAACGGTCACTACACATGGCACCCCCTAGTGGCCACACCAACGGTCACCACTACAAGGGCAAATGAGGTGCCGTCATTTCAAAGATGGACCAGGCCCACTTCACCATCAGGGGAAGCCCTACGGTTCATGGGCCAAATGGGTTGCACCCGCAACGGCCAAAACATTTAACGGCCACGCTGACGAAGATAACCCCCCACGATTCACAAGTTATACCCATATCGGCCACACAAACCACCAACTAAATGGCCTCCACATTGGCCACAAAAGCACAAGAAAAAAGAACCTAACAGCCATCGGCCCTCATAAAAAACTCTACTGTGTCCAAGGGTTCTCCCACAGGGTTACCTTGGTCAGGAAATCGCCAAAGGGTTGGATTCAAGGGAAATACGAGGATCCCGCTTCGGTCTGGGTCTTACATTACTCCTTCACCCCTCACTCACTCTACGGCCTGAAGCAGTGGGGGACTAGGGGACTACACTGGCCTCAAAACGCAAGGATGAGACAAGAAATCCAAAAATGCACAAGTACACAACTAAAACAAAACTGTATCGTTTATGCACCATAACGTCTTGGACCTCGTGATACACATGGCGCCCCCAACGGCCTTGGGTCAGGTACTCCACTATTAGCAAGGATAAGAAAACAACACCCCAACGACCACAGGAGTACGACCCACCAGCTAAAGTCAAAGATAGAACAGTCATCATCCATAGAACCAAGGACACACAACGTCCTCTGGGTACGATGCCATCATCATCCTCAAAAGTATGGACACCAAACTACAAATGGTGTCTCCTCGGCCAGGAACACAAAAGGCAACTAACAACAGCCAAAGGGAAGGAACATCACCCTCACCAACCACTCAAATCAAAGACGCACATCGACCACTAAGCCAAGACACTCATCGTCCTCAAACAAACCAGTGCACATCATCAGCGCAATAAGGGCCTCCTTCGTCCACAACGAGTAACACAACGGCCAAACATAGAGAACAACCGCAGCGCCCCTGCGTCGGCCTAAAACAACAAAACTGCAGGAATCTACTCTCCTTCACTTCGTCTGCATCTCAGCTTAGAGAGTGGGGGACTCCTGACGGAGTATATGGGTCCAGGCCCTAGGACTACATACTCAGAAGAATAAGAGGCACAGTTGTCACCTAGTGGGACCTCCGTCGGCCAGATGACCTCCATCGGCCAAAAAGAAGTCAACTCAGAATATGATCCAGAAGCCAAGAGAACCGGGTGTCCCCGTCGACCGGGTCTCCACCGGCCATGCCTCCGTCGGCCAGACCCTCGTCGACCACGAAGAGATCATAGGACTAGATTTCATACTTGGCCATTTCTACATACATTGTACTCGGGCCAGTAATGGCCTTATTGTAAATGGACCTCCCAAGCTCAAGACTTGGGAGCCCAACCCACATTTTCCCTATAAATACTCCTCTTGGGAGTAGTTGTAGGGGGTTCACAAATCATTTATTGCAAGTATTTACTGCATTTCTCTCTCTAGCTCTCACTTCTCTCTAGAAAATTACTCTATCATGCTTTATTAGACATATTCCCGTCATTTTTTGAATCAATTATGAAATACATCTATGTTAATAAATGAAAATCGTCGTTGACATTATAACATAAGAATAATACTAAATTGATTATTTTATTCAATTCAAATGATTTATTCAACATACAAAATAAATAGCCTCATATACGAATATCACTTAATCTAGACATACATCTTAATCTCAGTACTAAATAGAAAAAGTAAACAACCTCTCACTAAATTTAGTTATCTTGTTATGTTGTTTTTTCTAGTGGGGTATTCGACAATTAAATGTGAAAATGTATTTCACATTATCATCTCACTGAGAAGGTATATATGTGTCAGCCTCCTGTTCTAGCCCTTCATTCATGAATGATATGTTTGATGTCGACGAAAACACTTGGAAAATTAATCTTTCGGACCAAGGCTAAATTCAAATGGACATTAACTTAGCACTATAAAAAAAGAAATGTGTCACGAAGAAATAAATGCAGTTTTTTTTACAAACATGTTATTGAAATAAAACTTACTTATAAATATATTACTCCCTCCGTCTCATTTTGTAAGATAAACTTTTCTTTTTGAATTGTCCAAAAAATATGATCACTTTAATTTTCTAAGTTGGACTCCACTAACTTTTTACGTTTCCACTGTATCTCTTTATCTATCATTTCACCCTTCACTTTTGTGGGTCTATCTTACTCTGTCTTACTTTTTGGAGGTTGGAAGTGTAAAACAACCACATTATCCATTATTTTCTTAAAACGCGCACCAAAACCAAGTGCATCTCACGTTATAGGACGGAGGTAGTACTAAAGTTATTCTGAGTATGATGTCATAGTCATTTAAGTTTAAAAATTGAAGATAAGTTACTATTACTAAAGTTATTATCATCATCACTGCATTTTAGATGTCACATTTTCGCAAAGAACATTTATTTTAGTTATAAAGGGGGAAAATGCAAATATACCCCTGAATTATATTTGGAAGTGTAGATATATTTCTGAACTTCTAAAAGGTGCAAAATACCTCTAATGTTTCTATAGAGTAGCAAATTTATCCTTATTGACTTAACTTTTTTCAATTTTGAATTTTTTGAAGTTTATAATTTTCTTTGGTGGGTTTTAAAATTTATTTTATGTATTTAAAGTCAATAAGGGTAAATTTGCTCCTTAATAGAAACATGGGGGTATTTTTTCACCTTTTAGAAGTTCAGAGATATGTGTACACACACACACACACACACACACACACACACACACACACACACACACACATATATATATATATATATATATATATATATATATATATACACACACATACGTTAGGGGTACATTTGGAAATCTACTCGTAATAAATATACAGTAGTGCTACGTAATAAATAAAAAGAGTTTAGGCGACTCCTCAAGAATATATATATTTTAAGACAATGAAATATGAATAATAAGAAAATAAATAAAACAAATTTGGAAGAAGTAAAAACCGACGAATGTAGCATCAAGGGACACAACTATTAGAAAAACATTCACTTGAGTGTACCATACCATACGTATGAAGACTAAATCACAAAAAATGATCATTTATAAAAGGGTTCGGGGGTAAAATAGAGAAGAATATATAAAAAGAGAAATGAAACAAAAACCATGCAAAGATAAAAGGGGAAGGACTGATCAAGAGAGAATTTTATAAATAAATGTCTTCTCATAAAAAAGGAAAATAAATGAAATTATGTTATATAATGAGATATTCTACTTATTAATTTTAATGTTGACGTTTTTGTGTTGGTGATGTTGTATGAATTAGATCAAATAATTTGATTTTGAGGTAATGGAATTGTGCCAACACTTTTTTTTTGATAATCCAGGTGTCGGGGCTTACGCTCCCATAATCATGGAGTCTATGAACTACCTTCTAAAGCCCTTAGACAGTTAAGTCCGGATCTAATCACAGTCAGCCTCGTCAGTACTGTCTCCAAAGGACGAATCCAACAGGATTTACATCACCTTTCAGGCTGCTCCTCCCACCACACGAACCCGCTACCTTCATTATCATCATATCCTTTCTCGGCCGCTGAGTAACTACGTGAAGCGTAAATTACGTCACCTTTTATTTTAGAGATAGAAGTAGAAAATAATAAATGTGAAAATCAATGATTGGGATTGACATGTGTAAATTGGAATAGACGCAGGCAGGCATGTGAGTGTGTCAGTTACGAGATCTCTAGCTTTGATCGATCGATCGATCGATCTGTATTGCATGTTTTTTTTCCCTTTTTAAACTCATCGATCCAGGCCCCGTCGTTGAACATATCCGATCCGAATTGAAAATGGATCTGCGCGCGCGCGTAGGTTTAATTAATCTGATCTTATCCGGCCTCTCTAGCTATCGATCTGATCTAGCTAGATAAGATAATAACAGATCCTCTAAAATCTCGGATTTCGATATATATAATACGTACACGGAATTGAAGTGATCTAAAATCTCATCCAGCCAGGCCGGCCATTCGATAGAAATAATTTGATAAGCTGGAATGGCGAAGGCGGCGGCGTCGTCGTCATCATCTTTATTGAGTGTAATATCTGTCATTGTGGTTTTGGTGAAGTTGTGCGGAGGGAGTAGTAGTGGTGTGGGAATATATGAGTTGAAGAATGGGGAGATGTCGGTGAACATTACCAACTACGGCGCCACTCTCCTCTCTCTCGTCTTGCCTGATCGACATGGCATGCTTTCTTCCCTTCTCTCAAAACTTTCATTATTTTTTCCGGGGAGATTAGCAATTTTAGTCCTGTAATTTTCGGCTGTTATCATTTTTGTTCCTGTAACTTTAAGAATTTGCAAATTTGGTCCTGTAATTAATACATTTTTGTAATTTAAGGACTTCCCCGCCGGAAAGTGTAATTTAAGGACTTCCCTGCCGGAAAACGGAAAAAGTCCAACACCGGTGACATCTTTTCCGGTATGCTATTGACGGAAAGTGTACTTTTCAGGAGAAAAGTCGTTAAATCGCAAATATTAATTACTTAGAGCACCGAATTTGTAAATGACTAAAGTTACGGGATCAATAATGATAGCGGTCGAAAGTTACGGGATGAATATTGCAAAAAAAATTCATCGTAGTCCCCGGTTCTTTATTTTTTCTTCGGTACCGATTCCATCTGTATTCTGTAAGTAGTGTTTTTCTGGAAACGCTTTCTAATCTGTACGTACGTCTTTTGGTTTTGATAGGAAAATTGCAGGATGTGCTTCTCGGCTTTGATTCCCTCGATGGATACAAGGTACGTACGTTACTGCAACTCTATTGGCTCGCTTAATAATACTCCTCGGTACCATTTAAAGGTTCTCATCCACTATTCTTCGTTAAACGTGCATTGTTCTTAATCTTTTACTTTATATATCTAACTTTTATCAAAATTTAAATTTTCTTGATCAAGCTTTGTAGCGGTTTTAATGTAGTTTCTGAATATGTAAATTTTATTTACTAAAAATAGTTTTACTAATGATGGAGATCGGTTAACTTTATGGTCAGTCAAATGGGACAAAGAGAGTAATAATAATAATAATAATAATAATAATAATAATAATAATAATAATAATAATATACTAAATTTGAATTACGAATCTCTTTAATATCTTCTTTCCCATTTTATCACGTCAACACTTTTTAAACAATTCATTTTTCTAGTATATTTGTTCAATTATTATGACAATCAAATAAGGTTGACCGTACTTTTTTAATTACTCCGTCCCTCTCAACAAGATTGGCTACATTGATCTCTCTTGATGGTCGATAGTAATCAAGTCTAACCAATGATATTTTTTAATACAAAGTCATTAAAAATATAAAAATTTATTTGAACATATTGTTTATTAAAAAGTTTTTCATAAAAGTGCAAAATGTATAAATCACATACAACTATACTATTTAAATCATTGTCTAAACTTTAGAAAAGAGTCGATTTGACGAATGACGGGGTTAAAACATATAGCAAGTCAATATGCACGACTATTTTGATTCTTCGAATTTCTATTTCATGGAACGGCCGGCTCTAGATTCCATGCTTTTTGTTTACAAAATAAACGGCTGAAATCCCTTAAAACTCATTTAATGCATACAAAAAATTACTCCGCACTATGTATATTATTATATTCTCATTTGACTTGGATCATATTTTTTTTATATTCTCATTTGACTTGGATCATATTTTAAGAAAGATAGAATAAAATGGAAATATATAATTGTTTTTGAGTAAGAAAAGATAAATGAATGTTAGTCACACAAAACATTTCGAAATAGAAAATGAGAATTTTTTGGGGGGAATTTGCAATTTTCATCCCATAACTTTTGGCTGTTTTCATTAGTAGTCTCGTAACTTTGATCACTTGCAAATTTTATCCTCTAACTAATAATATTAGCGATTTAAGAACGTTTCCCCTCAAAAAGTGTACTTTTCGGTGATAGTATACCACAAAAGATGTTGCCGATGTCGGACTTCTTTTCGGTGATAGTATACCACAAAAGATGTTGCCGATGTCGGACTTTTCTGTCAGAAAGTGTACTTTCCGGTGAAAAAATCCTTAAATTACAAAGATTTATTAGTTACATGACCAAATTTGCAAGTGATTAAAATTACAAGACCAATAACGATAGCACTCAAAAGTTATAGAGCTAAAATCGCAAATCTCCCAATCATATAATAGGAAAACACATCGTACGTAGCATCTTTAACAAAAAAACACATCTTTTATTAATAACGCAAGTGATTTTCTCATCTACATGTAACTTATACATACATGGCTAAATTTGCTACTAGCGTTTTTGGGGAGGGGATTTAAATTACGTAGTACTACGTACTAATTAGTGTTTCAGAAACCTAATCTATATTTTTATATACTTCATCAATAATATTCATATCTTCCCACTTCTCTTTTTCAGCCATAACATTCATATCTTCTCATTTCTAAATTTTCTATCATACTTTAATAATTTTGACAATAATACACTATTACAATTATTTGTTTTGGATTCATCCTTCATTCCAGCATGCTATTCTAATATTTTCTCACTATACTCTCAGTAATTTATATTTCTTTCACTATATATTCATAATTTCACATACTTTTAAATGTGAAGATACGAGTGTTACAGAGGTAGTATTTAATACGGAGCACAACAAAGTATCAATTGTATCTTTCAGAAAAAAGTATCAATTTTATAATAATTTTATTTTTCTTTATCTTTCCAACGTCCGTCCTTTATTCTATACTGTACTACCTCCGTAACAAAAAGATCTTCCCATTTGGATTTTCACGATCTTCTAAGTTGAATTTTGACTCTAAATATCTACATATCTATATTTATAAAATTCATAATAAGTTAACATTCAAATAATGTGTTTTACAATGAGGTATACGAAATAAATTTTTAATCATAACATAATGTGAGTTTTGAATAATTAATTGTCAAAGTTTATAAAGTTTGATCCAAAAGAGTCAAACTGGGAAGATTCTAGGATTACGGAGGTAGTACGAACGTATTGGGTAGTAATTCTTACCCATCAAATTGCTAAGCAGTGGTGTATATGATGTGTGGTCCAAATAATCCAAATATTTAAAAAATCTTTAATTCATAATTATTTGAACTACTGCCAGCGAGTTAATGATTATTCGGTAAGCTTGGTTTATTGGATCCTTTTACTCGTCTCACCTACTCAACCTTGGTCTGTTTGGACAGGTCCGGTAACGAAGCGCATATATGGGGTTGGACTAGTCGAAGGAATATTCCAGATTTATAAATTTTTAGATAACTTATTTATGCATGACATCAATTTTTTATGGAATTAAGAACCAAAATCTGTTCTAACCCTAATTAATTAGTTACTCCGTATTTATTAATGATTCGGTTTCTATTTTTATTAACGTTTCGATTCTCGGTTCTTATAAAAAAAAAATATGTATACGGAACTCCTTATGAACCACTATACTACTATAATAATTAAGTTTTTATCTTATCTATTACTTATTATTAGTATATATATGCGGAGTATATTTTAATATTTATTTATATATGGAGTATTAAATATACTAATTTAGTTTAGTTAATAGAGTTGATAGCTTCATAAGCATTTAATCGATTCCTATTGCATGTAGTAGATGTCTTTTTCTGTTTTCTCTGCTAAAATTTTTAATTTGTTACGGAGTATGTAGTTATCTTTGAAACTTAATTTTTTAAGTTGGAAAAAGCAATCGGTTTTCGAGCATTTTTGTAACAGAATACTTTCTATGGAAAAGTTGTGGCAAAATTTAGCCACGACTTGTACGGCGGGAGATTTTAAAAAATTTAGTAGATAAAAAATTTAAAAAATTCGAATCAAGAGGGGCGAAAATTTTCGTTAGTGTAGGAGATAAAAAAATTCACTAGTGTAGCGGGACAATTTTTTTTTCTGGTGTAGCGGGGGAAATTTTTCACTAGTGTAAGGCTCTGCAGCTATTTTTATTCAAAAAAATTTCATTAATACATACATGAGGACATTTAAATCTATATATTACATTCTAAGTTTAGACAATGACAAAATAACTTAAATTTTAAAATTGGAGTGCTCTAGAAAAAAGTATTGATACATTAAAGCATAAGAAATGACAAATCAATGGAAAATGATAAAAAAATAAAAAAAGGATATATAACATTTTATTTAAATATAAAGAGTTTATAAGGTAAACAAATATTACAATAGTATTTATGATATTATTATTTTTAGAATAATATTATATTGCTAATTCATATATATAGTGCATATCATAATAATTACTTTTAAAATAACTTCAACATTGTTTAACTACATGAGTGTTCATAAGTCACAAACAGTTCTTTTAGTATTACAATAGTATTTATGAGATTATTATTTTTAGAATAATATTATATTGCTAATTCATATATATAGTGCATATTATATTTGTATTAATGCTAAAATAATTAAAGTTTATTATCTATGCAATAAAGTCTTTTTTAGAACGTAAGAAGTAAATGAATAATGTAATTCAATGTCAATAAATATTTATAATTTGGATTACACTTCACAATATCTAAAAACTTTGTGGCTAGAGTGTCTGGTATTTAATATCGTTTGATATATTTTTTTTAAAATTGTTTACTAGTTATCGAATAAAGATAATTAAACATTACAAAACTAAGATTTTTATATAATAAGTATCCTAAATCTCAAATAATGAGTTCTTCTATTGTTTATTTAAGTTATGCAAATTATTTTAGATGATCCTTTTTTATATCTCCAATTAAGTATTACATTATGTAAGACTATATATTAATTTTAAAAACTAAAAGTTAAGTGGGTAATGTTCAACAAAAAGTTAAGGGGGCGAATCTAATTAAAGTATCAAAATTTTACAAAAACATTACATATATTTAGAAAATTTTGAAAGTCCAAGGGGAACGGTCGCCCCCTGCGCCCCCTTAAATCCATCCCTGACTAGAATCGAACGGTTAAGATTTGGTTAGGTTCCATATATGTTCCACAAATAATGGTTACACACGTTTTGCAGAATGATACAACATACTTTGGAGGGCTGGTTGGACGGGTAGCCAACAGAATTGGGGGAGCAAGGTTCAATTTGAATGGGGTCGAGTACAAACTCCCTGCGAATGATAATGGACGCAACACCCTCCACGGTACGACCTATACGCCCCGATCACTACAAAAAATCAGGAGGGTTGTCACGGATTTTATCAGGATCACCAATTCAAAAAATTCGTGACAAACTTTTTTGGTCACAGACTTTGTCACGGCCTGAATCCGTGACAAAACGGACGTGACAAACTCTTTGTCACGGACAAGAAACCGTGACAAATGTTGTCACGGATTAGTCACGGTTACTCTCCGTGACAAAAAGACTATTTTTTTGTAGTAGATCCGCCTCAGAACAAATTTCAATTTTGATTACATTATTGGGATAAAAAATGACGTAAGAAAATTTACAAAAATAATTTTTGTACCAACTTACTCCAATATACATATGCTCGTCATTGCCTGATTGCCCTCATAAGTAATAACTCACCCCTTTAACTTTGGCTTTCCCTAATAAAGTAATGCAACTGGTGCGCTTTTCCTACACACGCCCAAATTATCTATGTACATTGTAACACTGACCACTTTCTTTGTTTGCTACGTATTTTTTAGACAAATTGTGTATGTATGCGAGTAAAATGTTCAAAAAACGTGTACAAATGACATGTATAAAAGAGACTTCAAAATAATATGGTGCGTATTGAATAATATAAGTAACCCATAATTTGTGACTAGTATGAAATCATGGATATATGTATTACAATTGTAAGATCAGTCCATGTTTAATCATGGATATATGTATTCATATAATATTTTCACAAACTTTATTTAAGCATATAAGTAGACTAGACAGAAGTACAATTTTTTAAAAAAAAAAATACTTGGATCAAAGCAGACTTGCACTGACTAATTCAAGCCAAACTTGATTTTGTAATCAAAATGAAAACATCATCAAAATCAAAATTGTTCGAACAAAAATTATCTTACCCGTGATGATTTGATTCGTCCACGGTTTCTTACAAATTAATGCCTCGGACTCATTCAAATGTGCTACTACCTTCGTCCCAAATTATTTTGTAAAGTCAACATTTTTTGGTTAACCAATATTAAAGTTAAATCCTCCACATTGATAAATAATTGAATTTTAATAATTAAAATTTACATATTCAGAAATAATACTAAAATCTCTATAAAATTGGAAATCTCGAATTAAATTTTTAATTCAAAATTGATATTCTAATTAAGTGAATAAAATGAAATTGTTTAACCCAAAAAGTCAAATTTACAACTCATTTAGAATGGAGGAAGTATTGTACTCCCTCCGGTCCTTATTAAACTTTACACTTTGACTTCACATACATTAAGAAAATAAATTTGACTTTACTGTAGAGTACTGTTTGGCATTGTTTGGCACTGTTTTGCACTGTTTGGTGTAGATTTGTTTGCCAAATAAGGTAAATAAGGAAGTGTAAAGTTTAATATGAGATGATCCAAAAAGGAAAGTGTAAAGTTAATTAAGGACCGGAAGGAGTATGAAACTTTGATGGGCTATACCGATGTTGTAAACTTTCATGCTAACGTAAGGCCCTGTTTGGTTGGAGGGCTTCGGAGGGGAAGAGAGGTAAGTGAGGGATTTGTGTGTGTTTGGTTGAAGGAAATAGGGGGGAAGGGGAGGAAAGTTGAAGCCTCTTCCAAAATCCTCGACTTCCTTCCATTCTAAATCCCCTAAATAGGGGTATTTCGGAGGAAACGTGTCCATAACCACAAATTATCTCTCTCCTACGTGAATGAACAAAACGTTATAATATAAAAAAGGTAAAAAAAAAATAAAAATTTAAAAATTTAAAGATTAAAAAATTTAAAAATTAAAAAATTTAAAGATTAAAAAATTTATAAATTAAAAAATTCAAAGATTAAATAATTTAAAAATTTTAAAATTAAAAAATTAAAAATTTTGAAAATTAAAAATTAAAAATTTTAAAAATTAAAAAATAACAAAATTTATAAATTTATAAATTTAAAAAAAAAACTAAAAAATAAAAATATTATAAAATTAGAAAATTAAAAAAAAAACAAAAAACAAAAATAAAATAAAATTATGACTCATGACCATAGGAGTAATATTCACAATAGTTAGACATGTATCTATTTTCTTAAGTAAGCTATCAAATAAAGGTAAATTGCGAAAATATTTTCATCAAACCTTTCCCTCCATTTCCTCCAACCAAACACAATATTTTATCAAAATCCTTCCTTCCCCTTCCCTTCCCTCCTTGACTCTCTCCTTCCCTCCTCTCCTCTGAACCAAACAAGGCCTAAGCCTCCCACCGCTAAACTTTTTCCTGTAGGCCAAATGAATGAATTCTAGCTAGCAGAGTAATCACCAAAGTAGTTTATTTAACAAATAACGTTTATTTGATGTTCTCCATCCTATGAATATAAATCAGGTGGTAGCATAGGATTCAGTGATGTTATATGGACAGTTGAAGAGTACATTCAGAACCGCCATCTCTTACTCTCCTACAAGAGTCCCGATGGAGAACAAGGTTAGTTCGTCGGCACATTCCACACATATATATAATTTACGCTACGAGATTAAGAGTGTTTTACAACTGTCGAAGTCTAGTCTGATCTGATCTAGTTTAGGACTGAAATAAGACCACGTAAAGACATCTTACATCATCAAATTTTCAGTCATAAGTCATTGATGGCAATATTATGCAGGATTTCCCGGTGATGTGAATGTGAGTGTGAAATACATGCTATTGGGCAAGAACAAGCTAGGCATAAGGATGAAAGCCAAGGCTGTGAACAAGGCAACCCCTGTGAATTTAGCCTCACACTCCTACTGGAACCTTGCTGGCCATACCAGCGGAGACATCTTGTCCCACACCATCCAGATCTTCGGGTCGAGCATCACACCCGTAAATGATGATCTCATCCCCACAGGGGCCATCCAACCCGTGAAAGGGACACCATATGATTTCCTCCGACCGCGTGAAATCGGCAACGAGTTGAGCCGACTCCCGGGAGGATACGACATCAACTACGTGCTGGATGGCGCGAAGGGAATCTCGCCGCGCCACCTGCACAGGGTGGCTGTGGTGGAGGAGCGCAAGTCGGGTAGGAAAATGGAGTTGTGGACCAACAAGCCCGGGGTGCAATTTTACACAAGCAATATGCTGAATGATACGGCAGGGAAAGACGGGTTTGTGTATCGAAAATATGCTGGGTTGTGTTTGGAGACGCAGGGTTTTCCAGACTCCGTCAACCATCCAAATTTCCCTTCGCAGGTTTTAAATCCGGGGGAGACTTATGATCATGTCATGGTTTATAGGTTCACTGCGCACCCCACAAGCTATGGGCGGAAGGGCGCATTTTGATCTATCTGAGCAGCCGCGTTTAATACCTTAGTTTAGTTAATAAATTTGAACTTTCCTAGCTTTTTCCATAGTCATGCATCGTTTTTATACTTTTAGCCTAGTGACCAGTATCTCTTTTCACTATCGAAGATGATAATGTAACAAACTTCTTGGTCAAACTCATCCTTCAAGTTAAAAAAACATCCTTCAATTGTTCTTATAATAATTTACTCTAATTGGTGTTGTGTGTTCTGCTTCGAATCCCCCATGGGCGTCAATTGGGCTCAAGCGACCCAACATTCTTAAGCTTCTCAATACTCTTAATGATTATCATGTAAAATTAATACTTCCTCCGTTCCAAATTGTTTTGCAAAGCCAACATTTTTTGGTCAACCAATATTAAAAATCAATGCTCTGCATCGATAATTAATTTAATTTTTAATAATTAAAATTACATTCAGAAACTACATTAAAATATTTTCAAAGTTGCAAACCCCAAATTAGAATATATATAAAAATTGACATCCTAATTAAGCCAATAATATGAAACTGTTTGACCAAAAAAAGTCAAATTTGCAAATCAATTTGGGACGGAGGTAGTATTTAATACGTAATATTTTTTATAAAATGTTAAACCTAAATGCTACTCCGTACTATTTATAGATTTTCACGGAGTAATCTATACTTCACGAAAAACATGCACAATTAGATTTGCTTAATCTTTTGAACATCCACGATGCCATTTTTTTTTAATATTCTTTGATAAAAATCATTTTCATAATATTTTAAAAATAATACACTACCTCTGTCCCATACAAAAGTTGTCGTCCACTATTCTCCAGTCAATGTAAAATCTTATTTTCATTCTGTGACTTTAGAAAAAAATTAGTATAGTTTCTAAATATGTAAATTTTATTTACTAAAACAAATCTAATTGTGGATTGGGATCATTTAATTTGATGATATGTCAAACATCGTAAAACGCGTGAAAACCTTTCTACGAGACAAAGAGAGCATCATTTTATAAGTACATAATTCACGAAATCTCTTACGTTTTATATAATAATCATCATAGTAAATTTCAAAATTCATCTTCCACTACAATAATTACTAAAAATTCTGAAAATGATTTTTTGAAGCATGAGTAGGTTATTCTCTCCGTATTTTAATATTGGAAAAATTGATTGTAATAATCTCAACTATTAGCGGTCCGCTTTTAATAATCCCAACTATCGATTATCTCAGAATAATCTCAACTTATGTCACCTTCCGCCAATAATGGTCCATGACCAGATATGACCTGCTATAACAAGTGAATTTTAAATAGAAATAAAGTGTAAAAATTAAAAGTTAAATTATTTATAGGGATTACTTGTTATATTTTTTCTCATCCACTTTAGAAACTATAGGAATTTATTTATAACCGGTCATGTCGGACCATTATTGGCGGAAGGTCACTAAAGTTGGGATTAATTCTGAGATAATCGATAGTTGAGATTATTAAAAGCGGGCCGTCAATAGTTGAGATTATTAATTACAATCAATTTTTCCTTTAATGTTTGCTACACTTTTATTGTTTGGATGTATTTAAAAGCTTGCTACACTTTTCTTCTTTGGTAAGTTTTTCTTTAAAAACACTCAATGACCCTTACTTTTTCTACTTTTTACATTCTCTTTCGTATTTTCTACCATCTCTGCAATTTGTTTCTACTCTATTCATTACCTCTATTATTTCACCCCTTAAATAATGTGTTCAAATCTATTGTAGTGAAAAAATTAAAATATAAATGGAGTATTATTTTTAAAAGATTCTGAAGATGATTTTCTGAAGTTTGAGCAGGTCTGTGTTGGGGGCCGGGGGGTTCTACCTTAAGGGTGTGTTTGGTTCAAGGAATGTTAGATTACCGTGGGAATCTCAGATTGCTGGATATGTTAGATTGATGGGAATGTATTCATTTTATTCCTATTTGTGTTTGGTTAAGGTTAATGGAATGTGACAGTAATTTATTTGGTTAAAAGATATCTTATATTACAGATATGGTGGATTACCTTAATGCCCTTTAAATATTTTCTCTTAACACAATAAATCTATTACAACCTACGTCTGAAGTAATTAAAAATTAAACAAATAAATGAAATATCTTAATAATAAATAAAATGAAATCTAATTGATTTATTTTCAAGTAGGTTTAATCGTAAGAGGTTGTAGATCCAATACAAAAATGAAAAAAACTATGTTCAAATAGCAATCTAAATATATTTATTATCACTTCAATAAAAATAAATTTTAAAAAATGTTCAAGTTATTCGTAAAACTTGTTTTCAAATTAAAGAAAAAATGATCAATTTTGCCATTAAATTTTGAAATCCACTCATTAAAAACTTAAATAATCTATAGGCATAAATACCTTAGAAAATTTAAATGTTAAGGAAAAAAAATTATGAAAATAACAAGAATAGACATTCGAATATAATTAAATAAACACACTCCATTTGTCTCACTTAAAAGGTTGTCACACAATCTAGATATTCGACTGACTATAAAATTAAGAAATAATGACAAATATAATAGTAACTTTATTGACCATGATAGTGTTCAACTTTACATCATAGTTACTATGCATATTAATCGTAGTTATATTTTTATCCATAACTTATATTTTAGTAATATTTAAGGGAAATCCCCTAAAATTAACTGATCCTTGTCAATAATAAGATTATTTTTAGTAAATAAAGTTACACATTTAGAAACTACATTAAAAGTTTTATAAAATCATAAAAATTCAAATTTGATAAAAGTTGAATACATAGAGAAATGAAATGAAAAACGATAATTAATTGAGGGTATTTTCGGAAGAAAAATAGATCATCCTCGAGAATGTCAGATAACCTAAGGCATGGAAGGATATAACATTCCCCTCCATATTACATTCCCGGGAATGTAACTTTCTCGATCTTTTTCTCAAAACCGTGAACCAAACATGAGAATCTAACATTCCAGGCATCACATTCCGACCTCAATGTGAGATAACCCCAAACCAAACATACCCTAAATTTATTGTTGCAAACCTATTTCCGAATGATTTTATGTCTTCAAGTAGACAAAATATTTTACTAGTATATACGGAGTAACAATCATCTATAATCACGATAGTATGATATATCTTAAAATTTATCTTCTGCGGTACTATTTAAATTTAGGATGTTTTTATTTTCAATCCCAGATCAGATCAGACTTAAATAGACTTAAATAGACCAGACCACATCAGACCAAACTTAAACAGACCAAAATAGATCAGACCAGACTTAAACAGAACAGATCAAATCAGATTTGACTTCCGTAGTTATAAAATACACAGAGACCGGACGTTTACCAGGCCAGACCAAACCAGACCAGTTCAGACTTGACTAGAGCACACCTCAATAATTTTGAAAATAATTCACTATTACAACTACTTGTTTTTGGCATTTTTTCTTCATTTCGGCACATTGTACGTTCTATTATTTTTCCATCATATTCTTAATAATTTATGTTTCATTTCTATTAGATAAACGAGAGAGAGAGAGAGAGATATGAAGAGCTAACCGAAAGATATTATTACTAACAGAGTTGGGTTACAATGTATTTATAGAGTTGGTAAGTGTAAATGACTTAACCAACTAACCGAGATACTAACAAGCTATGTACAATGCGCTTATTACATCAGAAGGTTCTAGTCTATCATAATACATATAGCTAACATTCCCCCCTCAAATTGAGGGTGATTGACTTGAACATTTAATCACACTGAGATTTGTTCTGAGTTCAAGAAATCTGGAGCTGGAGAGTGGTTTAGTTAGGATATCAGCAATCTGATGAAGAGAGGGAATGTGATAGACTTCAAGTTGCTTTATATGAACCTTCTCCCTGACAAAGAAAAGATCAAGTTCCAGATGTTTAATTTTGGAGTGCAAGACAGGATTGTGAGCTAACTGGACAGTGCTGAGGTTGTCACAATACACCTTGGGTGTAGCAAATGGAACTTGTAGTTCCTTCAAGAGAAACTGAATCCACAAGAGTTCTGCTGAGGTATCTGCAAGGCTCCTATATTCTGCTTATGTTGAAGACCTAGCAACTCTGAGTTGTTTTCTTGACCACAAAGACACAATATTAGTTCCAAGAGATACACATGAACCAGATGTAGATTTTCTGTCATTTGGATCAGATGCCCAGTCAGCACCACAGTAGGCTGATATAGGAAGAGGTATTTTAGACAAAGGGATAGGTTTAATGATGATGCCATGATTGATAGTGCCAGAGAGATATCTAAGAATGTGCTTCACTGTTTGCCAGTGTTCCTGCAGTGGTTCAGCCATAAATTGACATACTTTGTTGACAGCATAACATATGTCTGGTCTGGTTAAAGTGGCATACTTAATACTCCAACAATAGATCTGTAATGAGAGGGATTGGAAAGATAGTCACTGCCTTGTTTCTGAAGTTTGCAGGTGCTAACCATAGGTGTTTTGACCCTTTTTGAATCCAACATACCAGCTTGATTCAATATATCTCTAATGTACTTTGCTTGTGATAGATGAAGACTACCATCTGGAAGTTTGCATGCCTCTATTCCCAGAAAGAAATCTAGGTCTCCTAGGTGTTTGAGAGAGAAAGAAGAATGGAGCTTATGAATAAGTTGAGTGATGGCATTAGAGTTATTTCCAATGATTAATATGTCATCAACATATATCAATATGTACATCTAAATTCCAGAAGACAGAAATATAAGTAGAGATGGATCAGATTTGCATTGCTTGAAACCAGCATTATAGAGGACAGAAGTGAGCTTGTGAAACCAGGCTCTAGGAGCCTGTTTAAGTCCATACAAAGATTTGTGAAGTTTTCAAACTAAGGAGGTGTCCTCAACCTGAAAACCTGGAGACGGCATCATGTAAACTTCCTCATCTAACTCTCCATTTAGAAAGGCATTGTTAACATCTAGTTGCTGAATGGACCAATTGTGTGAAACAGCAAGAGTGAGAAGTATTCTGATAGTGACTGGCTTAACAACTAGAGAGAATGTTTGTCCAAAGTCAAAACCATATTGCTGATGAAAACCTTTTGCCACCAACCTGGCTTTATATTTATTGAGAGAGCCATCAGGATTTTCCTTGACTCTATAAACCCACTTGCAGCCAATGGCTTGTTTATCTGGAGGAAGGGAAACAAGAGACCAAATGTTGTTATCAATTAAGGCATTATATTCACATTGCATGGCTTCAAGCCAATGAGGAGAAGCCAGGGCCTATTTTACTGATTTAGGCTCAATATGGGTTAACAGTAAGGTAGGATGAAGTCTTGGTTTTACAATCCCTGACTTAGCCCTTGTCTTCATAGGATGAGTGTTATTGATAGGAACAGAAGAAACAGGAGGAGAAGGAGGATTATAAGGAGGTATTGGTGAAGATGAAGACTCAGAAGGAGAATATTGATCTGAAGTATTGTTGGAAGAAGGTGAATCTGAAGTATTGGAAGATGAAGGAAGAGCAGTAGCAGATGACTGTTGAGTAGAGACAAATTGAGTAGGTTGGACAGGGTTAGAAGGAGAAACGGGTAATGAAATACTGATAGGCACAGAGATTGGATTAGAATTGGTGTTTAAAGAAGAGGATTCAGAAGAGAATAAAAGTGGATAAGGGAATTTAGATTCCTGAAAAACAACATCCCTGGAGATGTAAATTTTGCCAGAAGGAGACAAACATTTGTAACCTTTGTGACTCGAAGAATATCCCACAAAAATACACTCTTCTGAATGAAAGTCAAGTTTATGTTTGTTGTATGGTCTGATGAAAGGGTAACATGCACAACCAAATACTTTTAGAAATGAGTAATCAGACATAAAGTTATACAGTTTGAAATATGGACTAGAGTTGGAAATGGATTTGGAAGGAGTTCTGTTAATGAGATGTACAGAAGTAGCAGAAGCTGTATCCCAAAATTTAAGAGGTAGATAAGAGTGAGATAGAAGAGAGAGACCTTTTTCAACAATTGTACGATGTTTCCTTTCCACAACACCATTTTGATGGTGTGTGTGGACAAATAACTCTATGAATGATGCCTTTATCAGATAGCAGTTTAGTAAAGGGCCTAAATTCACTCCCCCCCCAATCAGATTGAATGGACTTGATGGATACAGAAAACTGAGTGAGGACATATTGAAAGAAGTTATTGAAAGCTAGAAGAGCATCGGATTTTCGTTTGAGGAAATATATCCAGGTATATTTTGTACAAACATCTATAAATGCTATGTAATATAAGTATCCATCAAAAGATACAATGGAGGCTGGTCCCCATAGATATGTGAAAATCAGTTCAAAGGGTTTTTGATAAATGGCTGTGAAATGATGAGATGGCAGTCTCTGCGCTTTACCAATACAACAATCAGAACAAAATGCAGTTGCACTTTTATTTATATAAGGAACATTACACTGTTGAAGTACAATTTTGAGGGCCTCAAAATGAGGATGCCCAAGTCTTAGGTGCCAAAGATTACAAGATTGAAAAGAACAACTAGACTTAGCATTATTACAGGTAGATAACAAGACATTAGACTTGGTATTTTGTGGAGATGAAACAGAAGACTAATTGATTGATGTAGGAGACTGGTTGAGACTGAGAGCTGGAAAGGATTGGAATCTGTACAGACCATATGCTCCCAGTACACCATACAACAAGACTTGATTAGAAACCTGTGATTTCACATAACAATCATAAGGATAAAACTCAAAAAAGACATTGTTATCCTTAGAAAATTGACTGACACTGATTAGATTTTTGGTTATTGAAGGAACATGAAGAATATTGTTGAGAGAAAGAGAAATAGAAGACTGATAGGGAGAAGGAAAGGAAGTAAAACCAATAGACTTGATGTCCAAACCTTGACCATTTCCCATAAGAAGCTTATCAGTAGTTGTAACAGGTTCACTGTGCTGAAGGTTTAAAGGATCTGCAGTGACATGGTGAGTAGCTCCAGAATCAGGGAACCAGGTTTGAGGCTGTGGAGGAGGTCCTAGAATAGAGGTGTTGGCATAGGCATAAGCAGCAGTAGGATTATATGAAGCACCAGATGAATGATGAGGATTTTGATATGAAGGTTGTTCCCAGTTGAAAGATTGCACTGAGTTGTTTGTGGCAGTGGGATTTGGTGAATGATTAGGATAATTGGAAGCAAATCTTTGAGGATAAGGATTTATGGAGTAAGAAGGATTTGTAGAGTAACGATTGGTTGAAGGATTGGAGACAGTGTATGAAGGATTGTATATGTGATAGCAAATGAGTGCATGATGGCCTGTTTTACCACAAACTTGGCATATGATGGGGTTGCGTCCACCAAATCTACCCCCTCTCCCTCTTGAGAAGCCTCCATGACCTCTTCCTATGTTGGAATTGTTATTGCCAGTGTTGTTGAATTGAGCAACTTGAGCGGAAGCATTACCATTAGTGATTTCAGTAGGAGGATGAGGATTTGGGGTTGAGATTTCCAGTCGAGCAACATTTGCAGATAATAAATTCTGTTGAGAAGATTCACGAAGTTTCAGCAGTCGAGTTTCTTTGGCAGATAGAAGAGACTCAACTTCAGATAAAGTTGGTGGATCAAGTATACTGCGAGAGGATATTGATGAGGCCATAGATTCATATTCTTCTGGTAATCCTTCAAGGATCACATTAATGTGGTCCTTGGATGAAATCGGTTCTCCAATAGAAAGTAGGTTATCGGCGATTGTTTGGATGCGAAACAAGTACTCAGAAATAGAGCGATTACCTTTCGCAGTGTTATACAACTCGGATTTGAGTTGTCGAGCCTTCGCCATGATGCTGGATTGGAAGAAGTTGTTGATTTCACTCCAAAGCTTATAGGAGTGTCTGCAATGAATAACACGAGCATGTAGAGCTTCTGAAAGCGATGCGAGTAGCCATGAAAACAACATCTGATCTTGTTGTTCCCAGGCAATGTACGCTTCGTTAACAGTATCTGTTGTTTCATCATCATCAGTGAGGAATTGTTTTGGAATTATTGGTTTGATGATAAACTGAAGCAATTTGTGTGCTCTAACTACACATTCGACATGGTGTTTCCAGAAGATGAAGTTGTTGGCGTCAAGTTTAACTGGCAGTGGATGAGCGGTCACCAGAGTCGTTGAATTTGGAGGATTTGTGGTAGCAGAGGAATGAGATGTACTGTCTGCAGCCGCCATGGATGGATCGAGCTAGAGCTCTAGCTCTGATACCATATTAGATAAACGTGAGAGAGAGAGAGAGAGATATGAAGAGCTAACTGAAAGATATTATTACTAACAGAGTTGGGTTACAATGTATTTATAGAGTTGGTAAGTGTAACTGACTTAACCAACTAACCGAGATACTAACAAGCTATGTACAATGCGCTTATTACATCACAAGGTTCCAGTCTATCATAATACATATAGCTAACAATTTCACTATATATTCATAATCTCACATTCTTCTAAATGTGAAGATTGTTATAATATGGAAGGAAATGAGCAGAAGATCAGGGAGAGAAAGTATAGTAGAACACTTAGTGATAGAGGTGTATTAGAGAGTGTGATAATGGTGTAATGAAGGTGTGTTGATTACAATGGAGAAGACTCCTATTTATAGGAGAAAAGCTAAGCTTATTAGGATTAGAGGATAATTGTGAACCACACAATTATCATCTAGAATCATAATTATGATTTCCTAATTATTTATACAATGGTGATAAGTATTCCTAATCAGAAATAGTTGGAAGATGACTAATTCAATATATTTCAACACTCCCCCTTGAATGGTCATCTTCTAATTATTCTAGGGTATTAGTATCATAGTATTATAATGTACTGTCTCGTTAAAAACCTTTGTCAGGAAAAACCCAGTGGGATAAAATCCTGGCGAAGGGAAAAAGAGTGCAGTGCATTATATTACTCCCCCTCAATTTAACATATATCTCGAAGACGACACATTCCAATTTTGTGGACCAGTTCTTCAAATTTCTTCGGTGCTAATGACTTTGTGAATAAATCAGCAGGGTTGTCGCAGGACTTGATTTGTTTGACGTCAACTGTTCCTTCTTTCTCAAGATCATGTGTGGAGAAAAGTTTTGGTGCTATATGCTTTGTTCTATCCCCTTTGATGTAACCTCCTTTGATCTGAGCTATACATGCTGTGTTATCTTCATAAATCACAGTAGGATTACAAGTAAAAGATTTTATACCACATTCATTTTGTATGTGCTGGATCATTGATCTCAACCAGACACATTCTCGACCTGCTTCATAAAGAGCAATTAATTCTGCATGATTTGATGATGTGGCAGTTAATGTTTGCTTCATTGATCTCCATGAGATAGCGGTATCACCATAGGTGAATACATATCCTGTTTGTGATTTTGCCTTTTGTGGGTCAGACAAGTATCCTGCATCGGCATAGCCAATTAAAGTGGCATTTGCACCATTCTTGAAATACAATCCAAGATCGATTGTACCATTGAGATAGCGGAATATATGTTTGACGCCATTCCAATGTCTTCTTGTCGGAGAAGAACTGTACCTGGCTAATAAATTTACAGAAAAAGCAATATCTGGTCGTGTATTATTAGCCAAATACATTAACGCTCCAATAACACTCAAATATGGTATTTCGGGACCAAGGATTTCTTCATCATCTTCACAAGGTCGAAAAGGATCATCATGCACATTGAGAGATCGAACCACCATCGGGGAATTGAGTGGGTGAGCTTTTTCCATGTAAAACCGCTTCAAAGGTTTCTCGGTATAATTTGATTGGTGGATAAAAATACCATTTCTCAAATGTTCAATTTGAATGCCGAGACAAAATTTTGTTCTCCCAAGGTCTTTCATTTCAAATTCTTTCATGAGATATTTAGCAGTATTTTCAATTTCATTGGAAGTTCCGATTATATTCAAATCATCAACATATACTGCAATTATGGCGAATCCTGATTCAGATCGCTGAATGAAAACACATGGACTAATAGGATCATTTTTGTATCCTTCTTTAATCAAATATTCACTTAGACGGTTATACCACATGCGTCCAGATTGTTTTAATCCATATAATGACTTTTGCAATTTTATGGAAAATAAATCTCGAGATTTCGAGCTATAAGCATCAGGTATTTTAAAGCCTCCAGGAATTCTCATATATATATCTGTATCGAGTGAACCATATAAATATGCGGTCACTACATCCATTAACCGCATTTGCAGCCTTTCAAAAACAGACATGCCAATTAAAAATCGTAAAGTAGTAGCATCAACTACTGGAGAATACGTCTCATCATAATCGATTCCTGGCATTTGAGAAAAACCTTGGGCAACAAGCCGGGCTTTATATCTAACGATTTCATTTTTCTCATTGCATTTACGCACAAACACCCATTTAAAACCTACAGGTTTTACGCCTTTTGGCGTGTGGACAATTGGTCCAAAAACATTACGCTTTTCTAGCGATTTTAGTTCTACCTGAATTGCTTCATTCCATTTTGGCCAATCGTTTCTACGACGACATTCGTCAATAGATTTAGGCTCATTGTCATTGTGTTCATTCATTATATCTGTGGCGATGGCATATGAAAATATATCGTTAACATCAATATTTTTTCTATTCCATTGCATTCCATTAGAAACGTAATTGATTGAAATTTCAAAATTATCAACGTTTCTATCTGTATCTGGAATATTTACCTCTTCAAAGGTGATTGGATCCTCTTTTGAGGTATCCTTATTATTGATGTTATCTTCAATGCCAATATTATCATAATGTTCATTTTCTTCTTGAGAAGGTTGAACTTCTTTGGCATCACAAACTACATCTTGCTTTTTCAATTTTCTTGGTTTCAAATCTCTTGAACCAAGTGGTCTATCACGTTTTTTACGTATCATAGATTCATTAGCAAGAGTTCTTTCGCTAATCTCCGCAGGAATTTCTATTCGAGAAGGAGTATTCATAGCTGGAATATGTGACTTCGTCACTTTCTTTGAGTCTGTGAAAGCATCAGGCAATTGGTTTGCAACACTTTGTAAATGAATGATCTTTTGAATTTCTTGTTCACAAGCATTTGTGCGAGAATCAAGAAAAGATAAACCTGTTGCATTCCAAGTAATATCTTCCGTACGTGGGTCCATTTCTTTATTATCTCCCCCTAAGGCTGGGAATACTGTTTCATCAAAATGACAGTCATCGAACCGTGCGGTGAATAAGTCACCAGTCATAGGTTCTAGATAATTAATAATTGAGGGAGATTTAAAACCAACATAAATTCCCAGCCTTCTTTGAGGACCCATTTTAGTACGATAAGGTGGAGCAATTGGTACATACACAGAACAACCAAATATTTTTATGTGTGATATATTTGGTTCTTTACCAGATATTAATTGCAATGGGGAAAATTTATGATATGCAGTTGGCCTGAGCCTAATTAAATTTGCAGCATGCATTATAGCATATCCCCATGCAGATGATGGTAATCTGGATTTCATCAATAATGGTCTAGCAATTAATTGTAATCGCTTAATTAAGGATTCAGCAAGGCCATTTTGTGTATGCACATGTGGAACTGGATGTTCCACATCAATCCCAATTGACATGCAATAGTCATTAAAAGATTGGGATGTAAATTCCCCTGCATTATCAAGTCGGATTTTCTTTATTGAAAAATCCGGAAATTGTGATCTCAAACGAATAATTTGAGCAAGGAGATTTGCAAATGCAAAATTTCTAGTCGATAAAAGGCTGACGTGTGACCAACGTGTTGATGCATCAATGAGCACCATAAAGTATCGAAAGGGTCCACACGGAGGGGCAATTGGCCCACAAATATCTCCTTGAATTCTTTCTAAAAATGCAGGAGATTCAACTCCAATTTTGTATAAAGATGGCCTGATAATTAATTTGCCAAGAGAACAGGTTGTGCATGAGAAATCACTTGATTGTGGAATTTTGACATTATTTAATGAATGTCCAAGTGAATTTTGAATAATTTTGTGCATCATAGTGCTGCCTGGATGACCTAAACGGTCATGCCACAAGATAAAGGAATTGTGGTCATTAATTTTAGATACCACATTTATCTCAATTGGACTGATATATGTATAATATAGTCCGGAGGAATATGCTGGCATTTTTTCTGAAATGTATTTATTGCCAGATCTATTTGTCGTTAGACATAAATATTCCTTTTGATTTTGAGACATGGTTTCAATGTGAAAACCATTTAGACGCATATCTTTGAAACTCAAAAGATTTCTCCGTGATTTACTGGAGTATAAAGCGTCTTTAATTATTAATTTTGTCCCTTTTGGGAGAATTACACAGGCTATTCCAGAACCTTCAATGAGTTTAGCAACACCTGAGATTGTATTGACATTAGCATCAACTAATGTCATATGAGAAAAATAATCTCTATGTCTCAAAATGGTGTGCGTTGTGGCACTGTCTATTAAACATTGTTCAAAACCATTTGGAGAAATTTCAGTTAACTCCATATCTACTGGGAAGATGATGATATCAGGGATTTGGAGCAAATTCGTGCTGATAACGTGTTATAATATGGAAGGAAATGAGCAGAAGATCAGGGAGAGAAAGTATAGTAGAACACTTAGTGATAGAGGTGTATTAGAGAGTGTGATAATGGTGTAATGAAGGTGTGTTGATTACAATGGAGAAGACTCCTATTTATAGGAGAAAAGCTAAGCTTATTAGGATTAGAGGATAATTGTGAACCACACAATTATCATCTAGAATCATAATTATGATTTCCTAATTATTTATACAATGGTGATAAGTATTCCTAATCAGGAATAGTTGGAAGATGACTAATTCAATATATTTCAACAAAGATATGAATTTTACGGAGGTAGTATTTAATATGGAGGACAAAGTATCAATTGTATATCTTTCAGAAAAGAGTATCACTTTTATAATAAATTTATTTTTCTTTAACTTTCCACCATGTCCTTTATTATTATATACTCCCTCCATCCCATATACAGTTTCCGATTTTCGTTTACAACGATTGACTGACGATAAAGCAAATTGATCCATGTTCATACTCTGATTATTTTTAGTAAACAAGTACTCCCCCCGTTCTTTATTAATTGTCTCGTATTCCTTTTGGGGTGTTTTTAGTTATTTGTCTCTCTTTCCCTTTTTGGTAAGTTTTTTCAATCAAAATACTCCCTCCGGTCCTAAATAAAGTTCACTATTTGACTTCACACAAATTAAGGAAATAAATTTGACTTTACTGTAGAGTACCGTGTTGTGACACTGTTTGACACTGTTTGACACTATTTTGCATTGCTTTGCACTATTTTGATGTAGATAATTTGCCAAATAAGGAAGTGAGAAGAAGTGTCAACTTTATTTTGGACCGGCCCAAAAAGGAAAATGTGAACTTTATTTAGGACCGGAGGGAGTACCTTTATACCACCACTTTTATTACTATTATTCCTTTCTCTTTCCTAGTTTTTCATTTACTTACAATTCACTACAGCTTTTACTCTGTCTCTATTATTTTCTCTTAAAACATGTGCCAGAACCTAGAGGACAGATAATAAAAAACGAATGGAGTATAATAATCCAAATTGCTAATTAGTTGTGTATATGACGTGTGCTTGTGAGAAATCTTTAGTTCATAATTATTAGGTAAGCTTGTATAATTGGATCCTTTTACTCGTGTCACCTACTCGACCTTGGTCTGTTTGGACTGGTTGGGTAAGTGGGTAACCAAAGGCATATATGGTATTATGGGGTTGGACCAGGAGAAGGACTATTCCCGTTTTATTTATGCATGAAATCAAGCTTTTTTCTTTATTTGGGGTGAGCTTAGCCTAGTTAGAGTGGGATTATGGAATCGAGATCCGACAAACTGAAATGAATAAAATCGAGATTAGGTTCCGTTCCAGTTATTTATTAACGGTTCGATTCCTATTTTTATTAGCGTTTCGATTTTTGGTTCTTATAAAAAATATTTACACTGAATTGCTTAGAAACAGTTATACAAGTATAATAATTACTCTCTCCATCCCTTAGAAAAGCGCCACTTTCCTATTATAATAAGTTTTTATCTACTCCGTATTAGTTTACTCCCTACAGAAAGTTTTTATCTATTATTTTACAAGTATAATAATAAGTTTTTATCTATTACTACCTCCGTCCCTCTAATATTGGAACGGAAGAGAGTGATACAGTTTTTAAGAAAAGTAGAATTACGTGGTTTATAGTGAGTTAATAAAGTGAGAATAAAGTAATAATGAATTAGGGTCAAACAAATCTTACAAAATATGGTATGAGACAATAATAGAGGGACATCCAAAAATAGAAAAATGGGACAATTATAGGGGGGCGGAGGAAGTATTTATTACTCCCTCCTCCGTCCCATAGAAAGGCGCTCACTTTCTTTGTTTGAGCTTCCTATATAAAGGTTCTCATTTCCATTTTAGGAAACAACTAACAATCTTAAATGACAAATTAATCATTAAATATTAAAAATAATACATTTATAACATCACACTTATCAACACTAAATAACCTCATTATACTACATACCTATTAAAATTATTTCTCAAAATATACTCAAACTACATTATTTAATTATTGTCTAAATAACCACGTCGTTTTATCATGGCATTCTTTCAACGGGACGAAGGTAGTAGTATATATACTACATACTACGTATATATTAATATTTATTTACACATGGAGTATTAAATTCACTAATTTAGTTTAGTTAATAGAATTGATAGCTCGATAAGTATTTAATCGATGCCTATTGCAAGTAGCTTAGTGGAAGTCTTTTTTTGTTTTCTTTACTATTTTTTTTTAATTTAGTATGTAGTTATCTTTGAAACTTAATTTTTGAAGTTTGAAATGATGATAACTTTGAAGGTATATGTATTTCTTTTAATTACAAACGTTGAATGTCTTTATATGACACAAATTTAGCGATGACTTGTACTATAAAAAATTTAAAAAATTTGGGAACTGAAAAATGACTAGAACCAAGCTGTTAAGGTTTGGTTAAGTTGCATATATATTATACAAATTAATAATGTATAAGAACCAAACTTATAATAAAAGGTGAGATTTTTTTAAAGGATTACACACGTTTTATCTAAGAACCGCACCATTCCTTGACCTAGGCAGGGGCGGAGGGAGGGGGTGGCATGGATGGGCCCTGACCCAGGGCAATTTTTTTGTATTATATACTTAGTATATAGTTCTAAAAAAAATAGAATTGGCCCAGTGCAAAAACATCTGGCCTAATGTAGAATCATTCTGGCCGAGTGAAAAAGTACAGTCCAATGCCAATCTAA